TTAAGAAGGTTAAATGGCTGACACATATCAAGGTCTTTGATCAATACTAGTTCACAATAAGCATTCAATAAATATAAGGTATTATTGTTGTTCCAATTCAGCGATTCTGAGGCTACAATCTTATTCTGGATGTTGAAACTCAACCCCTGCCTGTTCCCAACGTAAAAAAAATAAAAAATAAAAAATAAGCTAAAGAGAAAAGTCACACAATTTGGAGAAATCATTAAAACTCAAAATTAATAACTTTTCCTCTTCCTTTGATGGTCAATTGAAATCATATTTTCACTGAAGAAATTTCTTTAATAACTTTTGGAATCTTTGCATTGGATTCTGTTCAAAACAAGAATTTCATTTCAGTTCCTATGATGTTTACAGCACAGGTGCTGAGGGTTAAACACATTACACTCACAAGTGCAAAAATGGAGCAAAGAAAATTTTTCTTACAAAATTTTTGTAAGTCATGAGTTTTCTTCATGACTCAGGATGAAATTCTTTAATCATATATTTATGCCCTCAAACTTATACACTAAGACTTTATTTTCTCCAGAAATTTAACACAAACATCAGAGTCACATCTGATTGTTTATCCTTTTTAAAGGATTTTATTATTTATTTTTTAAAATATTTTTATTGATTTCAAAGAAGAAAGGAGAGGGGAGAGAGAGAGAGAGAAACATCAATGATGAGAGATTATTATCGACTGGCTACTTCCTACACACCCCACACTGGAGATAAAGCCTGAAACCCTAGTATGTGCCCTAAGTTGGAATTGAATCAGCAACCACTTGGTATATGGGATGATGCACAACCAACTGAGCCACACAGCTTGGTTAATTGTTTAACTCTTTAAGTAAATTTTCATTTTGCTCAAATATTAATAGAATCTTTTTTCAATCTTTTATTTTTAAAGTTTCTAGGATGTCTATTTTTGCTTATATTACTTAAAAATCAATGTAACCAGGTGACTAGCCAAGTTAAGGATTTTTTAAATTATATCTTTGATTATTGATTTCATGCCAATTAATCTGCTTCCTTTCTCAGAAACACCATAATTCTTGGATTTACTTTGTGTTTTCTCTTTTTATCTATAATTACCCTCCTATTATTCCCTATACTTTTTAAGAGAAGCCCTAAAAGACACCCTGCTCAGCAATAACTAAATTTCCCAGTACATCAGTTTGGCTGCTTTATTGCTTCTAAAATCTATTTAAATTTTGCTGTTGCATTTTAAATCTTATTGACCTTCTAATTCTTGCCATAAAACTTTTCCTGAAATCTCACTTTTATCTATGCCATTATGTATCCCTTCCTTATTTGACACCATTTTTTTTAACAACCCTAAAGTTTTTACCCATTTCTTTAACCTTGGATATGGGTTAATGTGTTCAAAAATTATGTGTCTCAACAAAGGTTATGTGTGAGTTCCTGTCAGCCCCACTGTTGTGTATTTACTTTACAAAGAGAGTGGATAAGATATATAAATCCAAACACTGCTCCAGGTTTCTTTCTGTTCTTGCTTCTTAACTCCTTCTTACCCATCTGTGGCTAAAACATTGTTTGATGCATATCATGAATAACATTATCTAGAATGGAAAAGGGTATTAGAGTATGAAGATATTTAAATTATGTAATGAGTATAGTGAATACATTGGTGAACAGTGTGCATATGTGGGATAAATTTAGTGTTGTTTTTATTGAATAAAAGAAAATAATAGGATAGTGAATTGGGGAGAATAAGAATGCAACATGAGTAATGTGGATGAAGTTGACATTCAACTGTGAAACAAAGGAACCTGGTGAGGCGACTCCACATCTTCCTCATCCCGTTGCCCCATTTACAGGACTTCTGCACAGGTTAATGACAATGTAATAAAACAATATTGGACATGCAAAAGAAGTAAATAGCATCAGGGATGATGTAACAAGTGTTCTGGCTTCTCCCAGCTCCAAGACAAACGGGAGGAGTAGGAAAGGGAGACAGGCATGCATTAGATGAAATCATAAGGAGGACTTGGGTTAAAATAAAACAGAATGTCCTGGGCCTATGAAGTAAAGAGTAGTAGAGAACCTGTTGGCTAGTTGGCATAAATTATTGTTTGAACTCTAAGTTGCCTGGCCTGTCCTACAACATTGCTGGATAGAAGGAACTTTGCAGTAGTCATGGAGGAGTTCACTCCCCAGAGTTTCATGCTCCAGTTGGTTTTCTTGCAATTATGCTATCCTACTGATTTGTGTGATTTCCTGCTTCTACCTGCCTTACTGGAGTGTCAATGTTGTTGGTGTGAAAAGATTGAAGAGTCATTTTGAGTATAATTTCCACAGTCCCATGGACTCCCATCTGGAGTAGTTCTGTTGGACTGCTAGAATGCATGTATGCCCTGACCCTGACATTCCAAACAAAGAGAGTGGATGAAATATACAAACCCAAATATTACCTCCAGAGTTCTTTCTGTTTTTAGCCCACACACACAAAAAAGAGAAAGATATTGCTTGTGATGACTAAAGTGCCTAGAGTGGAAAGTACCAATGATTGTCCTCACCTTCCTCTGAGTCATACTTGAAAGAAAAAAAAAACTGCTAAGAAAGACAGAGGCTAGGATATAGCAGCAAATGCAAAGCAGAGAGAAGGATTCCAGAATTTTGATGGGCAGAGCTCTTGTGTTTCTGAATGTGGGAAGGCAGTCGTGGTAGGAACACAAGATAGATTGTCACACAGGTGGCCGCTCAATTAGACCTTTTCATCCACCCCATTAATATGTAGTCAGCAAAAATTTCTTTCATATTTTGATCGTTCATTGATTTTCTATTTTTATTTTTAAACATATCTTTATTGATTTGAGAGGGAGAGGAAGTGGGAGGGAGAAAGTATGAGGATGTTTAAATTAAAGAGTAAGTATAGAGAATACACTGGTGAAAGATGTGCATCCTGTGCACCACCACTGGGGATCTAGCCCATCACCTGGACATGTGCCCTGATTGGGAATCAACTATTGGCCTCTTAGTGGATGGGACAGCAACACTCAACTACCTGAGCCATGCTGGTTAGGGCCATCTCTTAGGTTTCAGAAGTGTGAGTTTTCATCTGTTTTTGTATGCTTCCATGTGTAATTATGGTATAAGGTTGTAAGAATTTGTATGGAACAAAATATATCTTTCCTACATAATAGATGAATTGTTAGTTTTAAAGATTATGTATTTCTATATTTTTTAATGAAAAAATTTTAAATTAGATTTATATCACTAAAAAGTCAGTTGGTAATACACTGTACATATTGTAGTGACAAAAGTACTTTTATTCATTTCAGAAGAAACATTTTAATCAATCAAAGTTGCATAAAGAATGCGTTTACTGATTTACAGAAAGATTTAAGAGTCTCACTCTTTCTCATTTTTGTAAACAGATATATTTCCCCTTAGGATTAAAATTTTGAGAAATCACAATACAAATAGGAAGATTTTTTTCACCATAGAAGATAAGAATGTAAACAATGCCAGACAATTCCAATCCTGTGTATAGGTTATTATTATCCAGCTCAGTGTCCAGCGCTGATGCAAGGGCAGTGTGGAATCAGCCCTCAAGATCATCAACCCCAAAAGAAACCACAGGAGACACTAAGTATTTGATTATCTGAGATAAATTTGATCCATGGGATATGAATTATGGGTAAAGAACTTGCAAGAGCTCTGCAGCCTGCATGAAAAACATGGAACTTGACCCTCACAGCCTAAAGAAATTGCCAATATGGAAGAAAATTTGAGTAGGTGGGGCAGTATGAAAGCATGTGAAGTTAACCTACCTTCTCCTGCAAAAGCTGCTACCACCACACGTAACCAACACAGTGGCAACTGGGAAGAAGATGGATATAAGGCAAGGCAGGGAAGTGGGGCCACACCAAGACCAGAAGTCCACCTTCACAGAAAAAAAGACTGAGGCATATCAGGGTCATTTCAGAGCATTCAGCTAAGGCAGAGATCAATAACTCAAACTGACACATCAGAGAACAAAGGTCCCGGGTCCTGTAGTCAAACACTCAGGCATTGGGCTTTCAGTAGATTGGAGCTGGATATGGAGCCAGTGGCCTTCCTGACAAGAGATTTCACATGCATCGTGCCCAGGCCCAGGCCTGAGACCTTTGGGAGGACAAATAAGTTCATGTGAGCAGAGTATGGAGAGTGCTCCCCTCCCCCACCTCAAGATAGCTATTAGGAGAATGCTCTCTAAGTAAGGGAAGAGGGTACAGAAGAGACAAAGAGCAATGCTTCATGATGATAGCCTCAGAGACTCAATGAGGGAAACTGAGATTAATCTCTTTTAAATTCACTTGTCACTCTCCTGGCTCAATGTCAAATTCACAAGACAAATTCTCTGTGCAAAATGAATGCTGGTTGATATACTTTTACAACTTTAAGCTCTCACTGAAATCCACCCCAAGCTCTGTTTCCTCCTAAGTGAAAAGCCCCTTACAGGACATTTTGGGCAATAGAAGATGGAAGAGGAAGATGCATCTTGCCCACTGCACTGAAATTTTAACTCCCATAGAAACAGAGCTGAGTTTCCAAAATACATTCCATATAAACACTTTCTCTTGTCACCCATATTAAAGTGGTTTCTGAGTTTGTCATTTCCTAGAAGTGGTCTAATGATTTGAATTTTCATAATTCCCTCAAAAGGAAGTAGGTAACTTAAAGTCAATATCATCCTCAATGATGTTGACCTTCAGGTCCAGAAGTTGAATCTTTTTATATGCTTGAAAACTCAGAGTGATGAGAGGTGAGAGAGGGAGCAATAGTCCTTCAATACTAAAGGACTTCGATGAAAATCAACTACAGATTGAGAAAAAGAGCAGGACAAGCCCAGGCCAAAAGCCGGAAGAAGGGGACATGACACTGTGATGAAATTCCATCGGCTTTAGGTATTAGCAAAAATGCCCACGTTATGCTATGGGAAGATTACATTGCTGTTTTCGTCCAGCTCCCATGTACTAGACACTGTGCTCTTTTCAGGGAGAGCAGACCCTGCCATAGAAGAAAATGGTCTGGTTTTTGTTGTGTCTGATGAAAAATAGAAAAGGGTGATCGGCATTAAAGGTCTCCCAGGATGGTGCAGACATTACACTGCCCACAGCCCCACTGGCTCCAACTGCCTGGGTGCCATCTTCATCCACCTCCACAAAGGTTTTATGGACAACTTTTGACAAATACAAACTGGGATGTGGAGAGATTCCAGTAAGATCAGCCTTCTTTTCATCGAAGACATCCGTGATGCCCATGTCTTGGAGAATAGAGTTGAGATCATAGCTATCTTCCAGGGTGAATTGGGGAAAGGAGACAGCTACTCTTTTTTCTGACATATATTCTGGACTGCTCCAGGCCACTATTTTTTCATAAGTGATGTTTCTTTCAAGCTGCAAAACGAAAAAGAAAAATATTAAGGGTCAGATTATGAGCCTGCAAAGAATACCCCAATTACTTCTCAGGACCTGAGTCTACTCAACGATAGTAACAATCTTTAAGTTCTTTTCCTATACTTCAAACTACTCTGATTTCATTTAAAATTCCTCCAAGCAAATCTATTTTTCTCTTTAGACCTGTCATAGTAATATATAGAAATGTTTAAAAATGCTTTTTAAATGCCTTAAAAATATTAAGAAGGTTTTAAAATGTTTAAATTAACTTTCCTTGAAACTTAAAGAGTGATAGTAAGAACACATTCCTCACTGCCCTGAGGCAAGTGTACGTCGTAGAAAGAATTTGAACTTCAGTAAATAACTTAGAGTGACTTGTCAAGATAACTTCTTGAGTGAGTGATGTACTCTCCCTAGATAATCACATGTAACCCCTCACTCTGTTTGAGATAATGTGTGCATTGACGTAGTTCATTGATAGCCATCTGAACTGCTGCAAATGGGATGCAGACTTTAAAAATGGGGATCCTGACCAGCCCAGTGCTCGCCTGTCAAGACAGCCATAAAGGCACTTCCTTTTGTCAGTCTGGCAAGTGATTCCACTCCATGCTCCTCTTCCTACCAGCTGACAGAAGAACGGCTAGTAACTCCTGATTGAGACATGACTGAGCTCTTGGGTGAGGAACACTGGCCCCCTGCATCAGGACAAGACCAGCCCAGCTGCTGCACCCCAGAGAAGACAGCACCACCAGGATCCCATGTAAGCCTATACCCATAGCACCTGGAATTGTGTGAGTAATAAAGTGCTGTGTGATTTGCAACTGCATAAATTTCATGTGGTGTAATTCCTCTGGTAGTTAATTGAATTATTTTGCATACACTTAAAATTTAAGGTAAAGCTTCTGGTCTTTTTTGGTCATAAACCTGCCCCTTGGTTCTGCTTGCATAGAGTAGCCTCTTTGCTAGCAACTACTTGAATGTCCCATACTTGCATGGTTAAAGTTTATCTCAAGGGACACCTTAGATAAACACCCCAGATCCTTTCCAGGGATCCACTTGGGACAAGAAATTACAAAACAACTTGAGTTCCAGTGTTTTTGTTTTTGTTTTACAATCTAACAGACAAGTACTCAAAACTCAGTTGATTAAGTTGGGTGAGCATGACCAAGTCTTGACATTGGAAGTTCAATCTCTTCTATTAAACAGAGATAATACCATTAGGCTCCTCAAGGATTAAACAAAATAATGTATTTAAAACACTTAATATACTGCATTTTGAATAATGGTCATTATTATAATTACTATCCAGTGTTTCTGTTTCTCTCTTCCTCTGTATCTCTTTATCCTACAGGATGTGTAGTTGAGCTCCCAGGCTTTTATTAATTCCCACCTCACACACTATCTATTCCAGTATCAGCATCCCCACTGCTGTCCAAGCACAGGCATCCAGAAGCAGGATTCAGCTAAAAATGTCTTTAACTGAGCTATAGCAAAATAGTTTGAGTGAGAGGCCAGCAGTCAGGATATTCAGGGGAAAGAAAATGCTATCTTATCTGTAGCAATTCGCAAGTTACTCCCCATCCAGATTTGGCGATCTGGAAAAATACGATTCCAGAGAGCAAAATGGGATTAGAGAGGAAAGCCCTAGCCTACATGTTTGGCATTTGTTCTTTTCTAAACAGGTGAGGAATAAAAAGTTCAGCGAATTCAGATTCAAACAGCTTAGATACCACTCTGCCTCAGGATGTAAATGGTAGATGGTGCTGCCCTCCAAAGATCTATAATGAAACATTTTGGAGAGACAGGAAAATAAAGCTTTACCTCCTGTAGGCCCTTCAGGTTATCTGCAGAGGGAGATGGCAGGAGAACAAACATGCTGAGCTTGTCCTTGGTATACGGCATTTCAAGGATCTGTGCATTCACCTCCTCTATGAAGCCCATTTTAAACATACCCTTTTGATTCATCATCTTCACAGTCTTCTTCTCATTCTGCAGTGAATGAACAAGGTAGAAGATCAGGACTGCCATGATAAGCTTTCAAACTCACATGGTCCCCAACTTCTCTAAAAACAGGGGGCCATTAAGTTGAGCAGGGTCTTCCCCAGAAGTACTGAGCCATACCAGTGACCCAATCTAAGAGTCATCTGCCCACAGGCCCTTACTTTGCCAACACGTTTTCCTCCTGTGGTTTTAATGGATTATTCAACTCCTAAAACTAGTTATTGGTAGCTTGTCTATTCAGGCACCTACTCACAGCTGAGCCAGTAGAAACAATCCCTGCAGCTCTCTCTAACTTTTATATCTCAGCTACCCCAGCCTGATGGCCTCACTGGACCCCCTGTCTGAGCTGGACTGAATGATCCCACTGCAGGGCCAGTAGGAACCTTGGTTAAATGATAGTCACCTACGTAGTAAATAACAATAGCTGTTCCATGTTCTTCCATCAGAGGCAAGGGCACAGCCCCAGACACCTCAGACTTCAGATAAGCTCACAGTATGGGGGTGGAAGGACTAGCAATCTACAGATGAGGACATGAAGCCCTTGACAGTGATCCAGCCAACTGGATCTGACTTTTCCCTTTCCTCCTATTCTACAGCTTAGTGGTTTAGAACATGGGTTTTTCAGGCAAACACAGATGTGAATCCTAATGCATGGATTTGGCTATGTAACTTAACCTTTGTGATTTTTTTCCCCTCAGCTCCTTAGTGGGAATAATTATAATATCACCTATTTTCATAAGGTGATTTTAGGAAACAAATGAAATAACAAATGGAAAATGCTCGGTCTGACACTAAAGATAGGGAGACACAGAGACAGAGATGGGGGGAGAGGAAGGAAGGAAGGAAGGAAGGAAGGAAGGAAGGAAGGAAGGAAGGAAGGAAGGAAGGAAGGAAGGAAGGAAAAGGAAGCTCAATTAACTACAGATACTGATTTTTGTTAACAGCAAATGTGTTCTTATTATAAATGCAAGCTATAACCCAGGGTCTAAGCTTTAGATTTGAGTATACATACTACAAACCGTTCTTAGTGGAAACTGTGAGTGGAATCATTAGAAACCACACACATGCTCTAATGTAGTACCTCGCTTAAAGAGAAAGGTGCATCAACTGTGTTTCCAACTTCAAAGTATTTTTCCCATTTGGCCTTGAAGTAAACAGCATTCACCAGCACCAGGACAGTCCCATTGTTAATGGTATTCTTGCTGAAGAGTTCCTTGATTTTACCTAAAAATAATAATAATAATAATAATAATAATAATAACAAAATAAAATACTTTTGATACAATTCATATCTTAAATATGAATTGTCTCAAAAATATTCATAGACAGATTTGTTTCTTAATGCAGTTGAACATGCACAGGGCTGGAGAGGGTCTCATTCAAGAACTAATCCAAGAAAATTAAAGCACTCAGAGTCCTGTGTGGGGAAGGAGTAGAGGTAAGGTTGGGAGCGGTGGGAGGAGCATCTAATTCAGAGCCCTGTAACTGAGGGCGATTTTCTGGTTCTGTCACTGTGGTGGGAACTTGGCATCAGACATCTTACACCCTGATTTCTCCTTCAGAGTAGAGATCCTGCTGCCTAATTATATTATCACATCCTTGAGAAAAAGGGCTCTTGCATAAACTTCCTGTCTCAAGCACTCATCACAGCAGCATACATATGCTTATGCATAAACAAAAATGCACATAAATGTACATCAATGATATAAAACCTATCTTTTATAGACTTTCACATGCCCTCCCTCATTCCATCCTACATCACCCTTGAGAAGTAGATATTGTTATCCCTTCTCTTTAGGATAATAAACTATAGCTCATGAGGACTGAGGCCACACAGCCCAAAAGCAGGGAAGCTAACTGAGATCAATCCCCAGGTCCTTCCAATTCTTGGTTTAGTGCTGGGCCTCCTTCCAGAAAAGCACAGCCCTAAGGCAGACCGGAAAAGCCCATGCTATTAGGCAATAGTTCATTTTCAGTGCACATCCTTTTCTAACTGAAAATAGCAACTCAACAGTATTACAGGAATGCATGCCGAGGCTTGAGCACCTTAAGATTTCCACTTAAATATCATAATAATACATTATTTTTGTCACCATATATATATTTAAAATACTCTGGGAGAGCCGAAACCAGTTTGGCTCAGTGGTAGAGCGTCGGTCTGCGGACTGAAAGGTCCCAGGTTCGATTCTGATCAAGGGCATGTACATTGGTTGTGGGCACATCCCCAGTAGAGGGTGTGCAAGAGACAGCTGGTCGATGTTTCTCTCTCATTGATGTTTCTAGCTCTCTATCCCTCTCTCTCCCTCTCTGTAAAAAATCAATAAAATATATTATATTAAAAAAAGAAAAAAAGAAAATACTTTGGGAGAGTTAAGTAACTAAAGAGAAACTAGACATTTATACCTTAATCTAAAGTTTTTCCTCTTGGCAACTAAATGGAACTTTAAAGGCATGGGAAATTTTTTATGGCATGTGAAAGAAGTGAAGAGAAATAATTTTGGAGTTTGGTTATTCCCCTCAAGGAAAGGCCAGGCAGGAGCACCCCAGCCCTAAGCCAATGTGAGGAAGACTGGAGACAGGAAGAGGATAGGGCATATTCCCAGGTAGGAAAATCTTTACTTGAAAAAGTAAATTAAAATATATGACATCTGTTATAAGGTGACATGAATGGCATGTCGGAAAGGTGATTTCTTTATTTGTGCTCATAGACTCTGCTTTTCATTTTGAGAAATTAAGATTTCATGTTAGTGTTAAGGGTCATTCCTGATGACTCTAACTCTCATTAAACAATCCATCATTTATCCAAGTGTTTGGTAAAATCTTTCTGATCTATATATTTCTTTAAATATATTTTATTGAAAAAAAATAATTAATAAATATATTTTATTGATTGTTTACAGAGAGGAAGAGAGAGGGATAGAGAGTTAGAAACATCAATGAGAGAGAATAATTGATCAGCTGCCTCCTGCACACCCTCCACTGGGGGGATGTGCCCGCAACCAAGGTACATGCCCTTGACTAGAATCGAACCCGGGACCCCTCACTTCACAGGCTGACGCTCTATCCACTGAGCCAAATTGGTTTCGGCTGACCTATATCTTAATATCTCTCAAATTCATCCACCTCTCACCATCTCTACCCTTGTCTACATCTGAACTGTTCTCCAGCCTATAATTAGATGTCTTTTAAAAGATACATTCCCTGCCCTGACTCGTATGGCTCAGTTGGTTGAACATCCTTCTATTCTTGGGAATCAGTTTGATTCCCAGTCAGGGCACATGCCCAGGTTTTGGGTTCAATCCCCAGTATGGGGCATGCAGGAGACAATCAATTAATGTTTCTCTCTCACATTGATGTTTCTCTCTCTCCCTTTCCCTTCCTCTCTCTAAAATAAACAAAAACATTAAAAAAAAAAAAAAAAGAAGAAGAAGACACACTCTGTCTTAAACCTTCTCTAGCTTTCTTTTGTTCTTAGTTCATCATGTAAATGAATTCTGAAAATTTCTACACTTGGGAGGGTTCTTATTAAGGCAATGTTACTTTGTATATTAATTATAAATAAATATAACACAATAAAATGCTATTGCAGATTTGAAACTCCCTACAGCTCAATTAAAGGATAGTTTTTAAATTATTTTGTTGTAAACTAGGTATTGTAATGGGGTCCCAAATATTCCTAATTTGATAGACAAACTCCAGTATCAGTGGATATTTTAGAGGGAAGATGAGTTTTGATTTTATGGGCAAATGAACATTTAGTGCTAAAAACACTGGTGTGGTTCAAAAAATTAGAGTGATCAACAGTATCAAAGAAAACACTAAATTATAGTGAAAGCATTTACAGCATTATAAATATTGAAACAAGAAACTGAACCTATGAGGAGAAACTATTTAGAGTGTGAAATTGTGGGTTCCATTTACTAAAGAAAATACAAATTATGAAATTTTATGGAGGTAAGATATCTCATTCCTACTCCATTATTTTATAAATGTGGCTACTGAGAACTAGAAAGGTCATCAACACCAAGGTCATTTGAGCAGTTGCACTGCTATCAGTTCCAGTTTTGTGCAGTTTCTGTTTTGCTTTAATGCAAACATCACAGCAGTGAAGAACCCTGTACTCTGCCAAGTTAAGCACAAGTGTGAGAGACGAGCAATACACAATGGCTGATATTATTCCAAAGTAGTACAATTTATGTCTTTTGGAACAGCCATAGAAATGGCTTACATTGAAGAAAACATTAGGAGGAGAACAATAAAGAGTAGAGGGTAGATGGAGATCAATGCTCAGAGGGGTCATGGCTGAGGATTATGGTTTGATGACTGGGCTGCCAGCAAGCAAGGCAGGGAGGCCGGTTGTATTTAAATTTGACGGGGGGGGGGGTTGTGAGGGTGCTGCTTTGAGAGCCCCATGTTTATACAGTCCATTTAGAAATTTCCATTTTATTAGGAGCTGATTAAGTTAAAAAGGGAGTTTTATATTAAAAAAATAATGCCATCTATGTTGAACTCAAATGTTCACCACTCATCACTATCCGAAAATCCCCTTTCACTCAGAACATTTATTTCTAGTGAAAAGTTGATAAGAAGAAGGATTTTATTATTTCCATGTCCTTATGAATAACTAGATTCTCTTCCCAATCTTTTTACTGACCTTTTAAAAGAAATGGAAAGAGTTAATGTCCTGCTGACCCTGTAATTGGCTAAAAGGCACATCACCTTTATGACAGAGGAGAGAAGGGACAGTCACTATAGCACCTGCACATTTTAACTGTTTGACACACGCAAAAGCAGTTTGGGTCCAGGCCACACCTGTAAGCATCTGGTCCCTAGCAGATGAGCAGTGTGAAAAGCTGGGCTGAACTGTTGGCTTTTAAATGGGAAGGGATACCAGCTAAAACAAGTTTGGTTTTTCTTACCTTGGGATTGAGATTCAACCCAGAAGTTAATCTTTTGTCTAGACTTTTCAGTGTCTTTCCGGAAGTCTATACTTTCAATCGTTGTGTGATAAAATTGAATCACACCATCGAGGTATGCCTGTTAAATTAGAACAAATGGAAATCATATCATTATGCTAATAGTAAGGAGTGAAGCAGTCATGGGCCTTGTCACTCAAACTGGATGTGTGTCAGTCTCTGTCTACCCCCAGTCTTGATAAGCCAGACATTTCAGCTGCTGCAGTGACAATTTCATTGCACTGACAGTTTCACCTAGAATGCTTGGTTATGGGGCAGTCCACAGTTATAATGGCACAAGGCTTTCTACCAAATAGCCTTGTATTTGAACATTCCATTTGTGAAGACATCACAAGATAAATATCAACTATCTTGAGCAACTTAGCTGTAAAATGCTTCTATTTCAAAAAAAAAATTAAACTGCTAAATCGTTACAGAGTTTCTGTTTAAAATGATAACAAAAAATTTTAGAAATAGGGTGATGATTATGCAACATTGTGAATATAATTAATGCCATTGAATTGTATATTTAAAATGATTAAAGTGGAAATTTTTGTTACAGATATACAATTTTTAAATTTTATAATCTAATATACCAAAATCATCAATTTGTACATTTTTATTAGTAATTGTATGATATATGAATTTATGTCTCAATAAAGCCAGATTTTTAATGAAAGAGCATGTAGAGTTTTCTCTTATTTCCATTGTGAGAAAACTACTTATTTTAGGCTGCCTCTCCCTTTCTAGGACAACCCTAGGTTGTGTGGCACATTTGCCTTTGGTCACTCCCCTCATGTCTAGTGCCATGTATATGGCTCCTTCTAGTGGTGACAGAGGAAACTGAAGCTCTAGGGACAAAGCAGTGTAGCCACAGAGACAAGACAGGTGCCTTTTGAATCCAAATTCAGTCTCCTTCTGCTACCCTACTCTGCTCCTTAAGTGAGTACAATTTCTCGGGGCAGGGGGGTCGGAGGGGAAGCAGGGTAGCTTGATGGTGGCACAAAAGGTGATTTTAGGGAAGTACCTTGGAAGGCAGGGGTAGGAGGGACAATAGGAAGAGGAGCTACCAGGCACCTTGATTGGGAAAGAGGTCACAAGAGAAAACAGCATTATCAAAGTCGCACATGCTCTGAAGGCTTTTAGTCCTATAACCCTCTTTCCATCCACTCTAGCCCACTCACAAGAAGCCTCATAAACCACTCAAGTTGAAAACTGGGAGGAGGGCCATAGACGCCATAGGAGAGGAAGTGGGCCCTTGACATCCCACCAGTCCGCAGTGCACAACCTGTCAACGAGGTCTGTGTTCCAGATGGCGGTTGATTTGTAAATAGTATGTTCCATGATAGCTCTAAACACCGTTCTTGCCTAACTCACCGGACAGATTGGAAATTCCTGCTCTCCATAAAGCCTGTTAGCAATACTCAGGGTGTAATCAGATTTGATCCTATCTAGTTTGGAGAGAAGCTGCCCAAAGTAGCAACTGAGAAGTTCATTCCCATCCTTTGAAGACTCCACCTAACAAAAGAAACAAAATGTGGTCTTAGCCAGTTCAAAACAAATTGGCTTTGTTAGCAGGTAAGGGAGCAATTTGAGATGAAGAGAGGAAGGAGAAGAGCAGAGAGGTCCCGGTGGAAAATTATCCATGAAAAATACAACTGGAGACAATCTTCTTTGCACCTGCCTCTTAATCTTTTTAAGGTGGAGGGATATGTAATCCTTGCTCCTGATTATGGGGCAACCAATAAAAATTGTGTGTGTTAGTACAGATTTTAGCTGGAAATAAAACAGGCAAAAGGGGTAGGGGAAGAGTAAAATCCCACAGCTCATCCCTCCTCCCCTCACTCGAGGCTCCATCCTGGGGAGCTGTGGTCTGTAAAAGTAGGTGAGTAGAATGGCTTTGAACAGACGATAGCAGATTCTACTCTTTAGGAAAGTGGCTTAGAGCCAAGAATGTTTAAGACACATAAACAGACAGGAATTGTGGGTCATGTGGAGTTATTACTGTTATTGGAGCTGTGGATGATGGCCAGAATCTCATGTGTGAGGATAAGCAACCATCAGCACCACCGGACTGCCAGCATGAATTGTTTGTAAAGATGAGGAGCAAGAGTTTACAGGTGGCTCACCTGTGGAGTTGGAGTTCTGGTTGCTCCTTTCTGCCTTTCTGGAGGGCTGTCAGCCCGTGCCTCCTGCTCCTTGTATTTCAGACAGGGATCCGGTGCTTTGGTTTTCTCCTGGGAAAGTTCATCAAAGTGGAGTACCTGCGTGATGATGGCATGGGGCCTTTCAGACAAGAGGAACAGCTCAAAGTCTGAAGAGCTTCAGAAACATTTTAATGATGTGACTATGACAGTGATTACATAGTCCAACAAAACAACCACCAACAATTTAAAGAAATGTGGACATTTCTTTTGATTTGGGATGTGAGGTGGGATAAAGGGGAGGTCCACTGAATGCTGCCCACACCCCCTTAGGACATGTAGGAATGAATGTGACTAAATTAAGAGTATCAGGTATTCCTGAGATTGTCACCTGTGGCTATTGACTAATCTGAATTAACTCTGAAAATACACACCGGATTTTGAAGACTTGGAAAAAAATAAGAAGGTAAAATATCTCATTTAAGTATTTAATTGATTACATATTGATATAATATTTCAAATGTATTGGGTTAAATAAAATGTAGTATTAAGATTAGTCTCATCTGTTTCCTTTTACTTTTTTAGTATGGATACTAAAGATTTTTAAATTACATAGTATATGGCTCAAATTCTATCTGAGTTAGATGGTGCTGATCTACAGTTTCAAATCAATCAAGTGAGGGAGGACAGGAGAAGACATGTTGTCCAGAACATCACAGTTAGTAGGCCAGGTTTGATGACAGGTGACACCCAAGTGCCTGGAGAAAAAACACCTGAAACCTGAGCTGGATGATGCCAACCACACTCTAAGGTTAAGTTTTGCTAAAGAAACAATACCAAATCAAAGTAAGTGAATAAAATAGAGTGACCCTAAATGCATTCTGCCTTAATTCAAGAATTCACTCCTGTGTATTAGGGACTGCAGTGGGGTTCAGATCCAGGGAAGTGTAAGACCAACCTCAGGAGCCTATTGTTTATTTGGGGCGTTGTTTTTTTTTTGTTTTTTTTTTTACTTTTTATACTAAGTATTTTATTTGTATGCTGCTGCCAGGGTATATAAAATAATCATTCTTATGAAGTAGAAATTCATGAAAATTCAGAGAGATAGGTGGTAAGGGCTGACAAAAGCAGAAGTTTGTATGATGTGGCACATGTTATAGGCTAAGCTTTTTGTACAGGCTTCAGATTTAGCTCTCTTTGGATATTCACTGGTTCAAGAAAAGTGGTTTAGAACACTTTCAAATTTCATTTTACTACAAAAAGGAACAAACTCTCTGGGGTCTGAAGGGATTGGTACTTGAAGATACTCCAGTCAGCAGAAGGTCATGTTGAGCATTCTGCAGACAGAATTGTCTCCAATCTACAGCTGCCTGGGAAACCTTCACGCGGGTGAGCCCGGCTTCCAGCCGGAGCTGTTAAACCACTTTCTTCATAGCAGTAACCTGGAGGAAGCTGACTTGGTTCACTTGAGTGCCAGGCAGATGGTCGGTAGAGGTCGCTGGTCTCCGGTCCGAGGGGGCGAGAAGATGGGGCAGCTACCTAAGAAGTTGTTCTTGCCACTTTCATTCATTCATTCTACATATCAGTATTGGGTGGCTACCATAAGCCAAGCACTGTTCTAGGTTCTGGGTCTCCCTATGACAATATGTTGTAGTGGGGAAGACATTCCAAAATTAATGCAGTCCTAGCAAGTTTGGCTCGGTGGATAGAGCATCAGCCCGCAGACTGGAGGATCCAGGGTTTGGGATTCCGGTCAAGGGCACATGCTTGGGTTGCGGGCTCAATTCTCAATAGGGGCATGCAGGAGGCAGCCCATCAATGATTCTCATCATTGATGTTTCTATCTCTTTCTCCCTCTCTCTTCCTCTCTGAAATCAATAAAAATATATTTTTAAAGCAATATGTAGTGAGTAGTTACTGTATGCAATATATTAGAAATGAAAATGTCATGCAGGGATGGCAAAGCCATAAGAGGGAATCTTTAGGGATTGGGGCCAGGATGCAATGTTAGATTGAGAGATCAAAATAGGTGAACACTGCTCAAAGTCCTGAAGGAAATAGGTTATAGATAAGTTATCTGTGGCAAGCAAAGGGAATGCATCAGGCCCTAGGCAGCAGAGGGTTGGGCTTTCCAAGAAGTCAGAAGACCAGCATGGCTGGAGAGAGAAAAAGGGGGCATGGGGAGAAATAGTATCACCAGTTACCTGGAATTGACATCCCCAGACCTTCGTGGGCCATTGTAAGGACTCTGGCTTCTATCATTAGTGAAATTAAAAAAAAAAAAGGGGGGGGGGGAAGCAGATAAGAAATCAGGTCTGACTTGGGTGTTCAAAATACCTTTCTGGAAGCTGAGTGGAGAATACTGTCAGTGGGTGCGGGAAATTCCTGAGGAAATTGTAACCAGGTTAAGAAGAGACCTCAGGGAGGTGGTGGGAGGTACCTGGTTCTGGGTAGATCTCTAAAGAAAAGCCTGTCTTTTCTGACAAATTTGATGTGAATGAGAAAGAGAGAGAGTGAAGAAGGACTCTGGGATGTTTAGCACTGGACATGAAACTGGTGCCTACTAAATATTTACTTAATAAAATAAATGAAAGAGAAAACACATACACATTAAAAATTACTAGCAATATTGGTATCAGTAATTACAGAGAGAAAGAGCATTAGACATGCAGACAGATAGACATGGAGAAGATGAATCAGAAAAGCTGTCAGACTGGGAAAGTTGGAGAGATACCATAGAGAGTGAAGATTCATTTCGTCTCCAAGAATAAAAGAGAAGAGAAGAGAAAGCAAGGCAAGGATATAAATGAAGACTCTGAGCAAGCCCACAGTTCAATGAGCAGCTTGATTTGCCAAAATGGGATTAAGGTCTGGCATTGAGAGTGGACCCAGAGTTACTGCATCCGTACCCGGTCGATCTGATGTGCACTATCACTTCTGGCCCCCAGACGGACCATGCCAAGGGCGGCTGAGAGGCTCAGAGGACAGAAGAAAATGTTCTTAGCACCATCATTTTTGCTTATTTCTTGAAAAAGATCAAAGCAAAATTTGGAGTTTGCTGCAATGAGAGAATCCATCGCGAAACTGATGACAGCCTAAAACAAACAAAAACAAATTACAAGAGAGAGAAAATATTTAACAGAGAAAAATAAGTAGACAGTACTCATGTTAAATACTCAAGATTTAAAAATAAGTAGACAGTACTCATATTAAATACTCAATCCACTGAGCCAAACCAAAACCGGTTTGGCTCAGTGGATTGAGTATCAGCCTGCGGACTGAAAGGTCCCGGGTTTGATCCCGGCATGTACATTGCAAGAGGCAACTAGTAGATGTATCTCTCTCATCGACATTTCTAGCTCTCTATCTCTTTTCCTTCCTCTCTGTAAAAAATCAATAAAATATATTTTTAAAAATAAAAACTGGAAGATAAAGTCACCATCCTCTGGTCTATAGATAGTGATGTTAAATTTATAATAATACAGATAGACATCTATTTTTATTCAGTGACGTGGATTCTTTTGCTAAGGCTGCCATAACAAAATACCACAAATCAGGTGACTTAAACAACAGGAACTTGTTCTTCCTCAGTTCTGGAGGACAGATGTCCGTAATCAAGGTGCTGGCAGGATTGGTTCATTCTAGAGGTTCTCAGAGAAAATCTGCTTCATGCCTCTCCCTAAGCTGCTGGTGGTTTCTAGCAATCCTTGGCATGCCTTGGTTTGTAGGATAGACCTCTATCTTCACATATGTCTTTCTCTGTGTCTTCTGTGTGTACAACCAAATACCCCTTTTCCTATAAGTCATTGGATTAAGGCCCACCTTAACCCAGTAGTTTGACTTAATCTTAAATTGACCACATCTGCTAAGACCCTATTTCCAAATAAGATCACATTCACTATTACTGAGGATTGGGACTTAAACACATCTTTTGGAGGGCAAAATTCTACCCACTTCATGTGGAACTTCCTTTAGTCAGGTAAAATCAAGTCAAAGGCTACTATGTCTCCATGGTCAAATTAGCAACCAAGAAAGCTTCAATCCACCCCCTTCTCTTGGTTCTGCTTAAGACATTTGTCTGGACTTTCCCTGAATTTTCTATGGCAGAATAAATGCCCCCAAAATTGTCATGGGTCATGTCCTCTGTTAACATTCTCACCTCATTTTGATTCATTATATATGAAACCTATAGGACTTGAAGCACTTTAATCAGTCCTTGATATTGTCCAAGAGATAATAGAGGGTTGAAAAATGCTGAGGGTTTAGAAGTCATTTGGTTTCTCTTGATAATGTAGAACCATAAGTAATGGAACCAAAGTAAGGGAATGACTTCCCTTAGGATAGCCCTTGATCCAGCCCTACCCCAGTAAGCTATTTCATAAGAATCAAGACAACTTTACATACTACCGTGTTTCCCCGAAAATAAGACATCCTCCAAAAATAAGACCTAGCGCATGGAAAAATAAGACATCCCCTGAAAATAAGATCTAGCGCATCTTTGGGAGCAAAAATTAATATAAGACACTGTCTTATTTTTGGGGAAACAGGGTAGTAGATCTCACTTTGGACTTATCTCCCTCAAATAAAATGTCTTTTGTCTTTTGCCTATGGATATTGTATATTTCCAAGATGGAAATGTAAGACCCTTTATTTTAGTTTTTATCATCAGACATATGATATATAACAAGCATTAAAAAATAGTTATTGCATTGGCCCTGGTCAGGTAGCTCAATTGGTTACATTATTGTCTCGATACACCAGGGTTGTAGGTTCAATCCCCGGTCAGGGCACATACAAGAAGTAACTAATGAATGCATAAATAAGTGGAACAACAATTCTCTCTCTCTCTCTCTCTCTCTGTGTGTGTGTGTCTTCTTTTCCCTCTTTCTCCCTTCTTCTCTCATTCTCTCAAGAAGAAAAATAGTTATTGCTTTAGATTCAACAGTATACTAGTACAGTAGTTTTAACATTTTCCCACTTTCATCGATTTTTAGTCTATTAAACTTAATTCAAAAAAATAACAGTAGGTTATGTTTAGAAAATGTGCCACATGTGTCTTTAATGTTCACTGGAAAATATCCTCCAAACAAAGAAATCACTCTTGGCTAAGTCTAAATTCTGATTATTGAGGGAGGCTGTCTCTTAATAAGCTACAGCCTGAAAAACTTGTATACAATGGACTCCAGTAATCATTATTTTCCAACAGACTTGAAATAATATTTCAAAACAGTAAAGTCCCTCAAAAATCTATTCAACTCAAGGAATCAATAAAACCCAATTATAAATACCTTTATAATAATAGCTACCATTTAATTTGAGCCTACAACGTGCCTGGCATTTCACATATATTGTCTCTAATTCTTGAACAATCCCATGAGTCAGTAACTATCTTTATTTTATATCCCACTATGACGTGGGGTAGCTGGTGTGCAAATCAGTCCATTCAGTCTGACTGCCAAGACACCCTTCCTCCTCTTACAGCATGCTGCCATCTGGAGCAGATAAAGCATTCACACTTCCCAATGCCACCTCCTACCAACCATACTATGCAGAAAAACGTTAAGGAACAATTTCATTCAGAAAAAAAGAAGTGAAAAATCACATTAATATTAAGAAAAATGTTATATTTTTGCCAGTACTGCTTCCCAAGTGATTTATTATTTAAACTCTAGTAAGGTACAAGAAGGATTTTGATTCTCAAATGCAAATTTATTGTACAGGTGGCAAAATATCAGTAATGAGGTCAGCCATCTAAACGATAAATTTGAATTTTGCTCTCACCATATTGACAAGTCCATTGCCTTCATTTTTCCATGTGCTTTCTCATCTTGCAATCATAGTATCTATATTCATATATATGTTCATTTGTCTGTATATGAAAGACAAATATTCATATTTCTATTTCCCTTATGATTCTGTCTATAAGGTGATTGTTTTTGATATTTCTGTCTTTCCTTCCAAACCATAATTCTTTTGAGGAAAAGTTTCAAGATTTTTATTCATCTTTACATCCCATTAGTAAAGAATAAACAGTGGTGCATAAGAACACTTAATATTTTTTGATTTATTTACTATCATCTGCCCCTTTTACAGTATAAAGAATTCTAATATTTGAAACAGTAGGTGATAATTTATATTTCACATTGACTCTATACATTTTGCAGGTAGCTGTGATTAATAGAAATATTCATAGTGGGATCAAATTTAGATTGATTTTCTACTCTATTAGAAACAATTTGGTTACTAAAATATGATTTCCTTTATTGTAACAATATAAAAGATTAGACTAGGTAGATTTTCTAACAACCCAAACTATTCTAAGTGTGAATTTCATATCCCAAAAATATTTCATGTCTAAGAATTTCCACCATTTTTACAAAGCTATTAATAAGCTCAGAATAAAATTTCAACTTTACACAGATAGACACAATTCTGCTGGAAATAATTTTCAAACCTAATTATAACTAACTAAAGGATAAGCAATATCTAATAACAAAGAAATACTTGTGAAAGATTTAATCAAAGCATTTCCATCTCAGATTGCCAAAGAGAAATATAAACTCATATTATCTAAAATACAGATATTCTAAATATTATGTCATTTTATATTTAAAAAATTAGTGTAAACATAGTATACAATCTGCCAAGTACGTAAAGATTTTTTTAAAATTATTCAAACCTCCTCATTTTTAAGAAATCAACCAGACATATCTGACATGTGACCAGGTGCTGGGGGACTGAGGGAGTTGACAGATGATGGCTAATGTTTCCTAATTACGTATTGCCACATTTACCATAACTTCAAAACATCATAAAACAAATTACTCATTTTTAAAAGACAGTTGCCTAACTAAAAACAGCACATCTTTTAGTTTCAATCCAATCTACTCTGGGTTTCTATTACTTAAAACAATTTTCCTATGCAATGGTTTATTGTTAAAAATAATACTAGGCAACGCTAGCATTTACCTCTTGCCTTCAGAGTTGCTGCTAACAGCTGGCCAGGTAAGTTTCAATCTGTACCCTGTCAGGAATGGAAATATATGAACTTGGCCCCTCCCACAGTGGCACTTTCCCAACTGCCATTTTGGAAGTCAGAATCAAATTATTATTGATTGATTAAAGGCCAGAGGGGTGGGAGGAGGGGGAAGCAATGTATGGCATATATATATTTTAAACAAATACACTCTATGCTTTCTACTAAATTAAATAACTTACTATATTTATATCTTCTTTGTTCTTTCTAATTGGGTCTCTTTATAGAGCCCTCATAATAACATTGAGCCATACTCTTCAACCCAATTCCCCATGCTAGATAAATAGAGAAGCATAGGATTTTTTGCCCATTGTCTTGGGCGTTCTCTTATACTTGAATTTCTATATTATTCTAAACTTTTTAAAATTAGCTTTAAGCCCATTTCAATAACCTGGGATGTGAGTAGAGATTAGTATTTAATTTAACAAATTAGTATTTAAATTAACAACTAGAATAGCTGAATACCAATCACAAAATTAAAGTTATTAAGAGAGACAGAGAAGAGGAGGGAGGGAATTTCTGGAAGAAAACTACTTTGCTAGGAGCTAGAAAACTAATCAACTCTGTCCAATGCCTCCAGAAAGTTTGCCTAATTTAGCTTTCTTGCTGTGACCTGCTCACCTGTTTATCTCCTAAAAGAATTTTTTAGAGCCCTAGATACCCTCAAGTCTTCCTTTTTTGTTCGTTCTTCTTTCCTTTCTCTTCCCTCTCCATTTCTACCTTCCTTCCTCTTTTTCTTTCTTATCAGGCATCTGATAAAAATGTCAAATATATTTCACAACTGAAAAGAAAATAAATTTTAAAACTGAGCCAAGTAACTTCAGATGTTCCTTTTAGCTTTAACAGACTATGATCCTGATTTGTTCATAAGGAGAAGCATGGGGATGAGTGAATAGGGCACAGAGGTTGTAACTGGAAGAGTAAAAACATTGGAATCGACATGACTTAGGGACAAAATGAGAATCCTCTCTGGCCTGCTTCCCTTTTTTTACTCCTTTTCCTTATCTAACTTGTCTGACAGCCATATAATCTCAGCTTCAT